CGGAATATGTATGGGGAAGTGATCGGTATGATCCATAGAAATTCTCAATGCGCTTAAAAATGCGTTGGAATTTTGAAAAGCCTTAATTAACTCTTTTATTATGTCCTTTTGATCACCACCTCCCAAAATCAACGAAAGCCACCCTCCTAACGCGAATCCCCTGAAGCAGACTTGACCCTGCTTATTAACCCTTTGACGAGCGCCGTTGTGCGTGCGCCACTTCATTATTATTTAATTTTTTCATCAATATTCATTAACTCTCCAACAATTTCATTATTAGTAATGAGTACCTTGTTTCGCTGTTCCGATAATTTACTACGGGCAGTTTTAAAACATTAAAAAATGACGAAAAACGAGTTGCCAACCAGCGGGCTACACGGTCGTCAAAGGGTTAATATGTCCTGAGCCCGCCATTACCGCTAGTGTGAGAGGAAGGATTTTCACTCATGGTCAGATCTGTCTTACCAGTGCATAATTCGGAGCAGTTTGATGAAGCACCTGTTCCGCTGGGTACAGCTGTTTTAAGAGGTTTTTCACAAGTTCGAGGGTTCAGCATTCCCACGGTCAGTCAAGCAATGCTAATCAATCGCTTAGGAAGTTAGAATAGTCCCGAAAATTGAAAACTTTCCGGTAACAGGTCATTTTTGTGAGTGCTCATGCTTGATGTCCCTTTGTGAAAGCGATTCGTTGTTGTTCTGGTGGCGAAAAGTTCGGTAGGCGGGCGGTGATAGGAGTTTTCGTTGATGTTGACATCGATTACGAACAGGTTTTTACTTTGGGCGGGTGCAAAATTTGTGTGAGAACTGGACGTGGGCAAATGTTTGATGGGTGAAAATGGATGAAATAGCAGTCAAATCATTGTGTTTCTCTGCTCACATGAGGTGGCCGCGTTTATATTGCACCCATGGGAGCTGATGGGCTCCTGCATGCCTTTCGCGGGTGAAATGGGAATGATAGAGACACAAATCATTTATGAATGAGAAATAAGCACGAGCTGTGCAGACCAGAATGGGCGGCAGCCGAATTCCTTAGGCATTGGCTCACTCTGCTGTATTGTTAGGCGAGGCTCAATAACATGGTTAATAAATTGAGTTCTACATTGGATCATCAAGATTTAATTCATTCAGGATAAGAGAAGTCAAACAATAATCCTCTGGTATATTATAAAAACCCTGAAATGAGGGTCAGAGCAGGTTTGACGTTCTTTTTCTGAGCTCGAAGGGTAAAATGTAGTCGCAAAGGTATAAATTATATATTGCTATTCGATTGATGGCAGAAAGACCTAAACTACCTAGTTCAATTATTCATGGGCACCGAAGGCCTTTTTCAGAAGTTTATTTCTGAGTGACCTTGAAAATCGATGAGGACTTTTCGGACAACCCTATGATTGTTTCGGGCAAATATGCATGAGAAACGTCCTTACGGTTCTGAACTTTTATCAGATGTATGACGGTGTTACCCAAGAAGGACTGATCACTGCTCATCGTTCAATCATCTACTCTTCAGGTATTTCGTATCAGTTTTCGAGTCGAATCGACGTTCCTCCTACTTCAATAACGCCTAAACGTTTGGTGCCCGGAAGCGAGACGTGGTCAGCTATTTTTGCTCGTTTTTTTAATGAAGGAGAAGTGGTGCAGAAGCAAGTGGCGCAGTCTAGCGCGCACGGTCCCGGGATCAAATCGTGGATCGTACGCCATCGTGGCCTTCTGTCCCTCCAGGGCTACTTATTGGCACCAGACATAAGCGACGACCATAAGCGGCTACAATTCTGAGTTGAAGGTGGAATACGTGGCGCATTCTCAGAGGGATTGATCTGCTTTGAATACCTTACTCTTATTAGCACCCACGTTCAACTTTACTTTTGTAATTTTTTATTTAAGTAAGTACAGCTTACATGCTAATGGCCTCTATTCCTGCAGGATTGGCTCATTGGACGAGAAATGTTTGGGAGGATAAATACACTGGTTTGACAATCAGCTGTCCCTATTAAGCAATTCCATAACGAACGCCAAACGCCTACACGGTAACTAGCGGGGGCCACCAAGGGGATGTTAGGAACAACAATTCTGAGTGGAAGTGAGATACGTGGCGTATCCTAAAGAGCGGCTGATCATCTACGCTGAATATTTTATTCTTAGAAGCGCCCATGTTCAACTTTACTCTCCTTTTTTATTTAAGTGAAAATACAACTACATAATTACTAGGGCCTTGTATCCCTTCTGGGTTGACCCATTGGCACGGGACATGACTGGGAGGATAAATAAACTGATTTGCAAATCGGCTACGATCGCAAGCAATCGTATAAGCCAAACGCCTATACTATGACTAGCGGGAGCCTACTAAAGGGAAGTTGCGACTACAATTCTGAGTGGAAGTGGATACGTGGCGCATCCTAAGAGAGATTGATTTACGCTGAATACTTTACTCTTAGAAGCGTCCACGTTCATCTTTACTTTCATCTTTTTTTACTTGAGTAAAAATACAATTACATATTTACTAAATCATTTATTCTTATTAATATACAATATTTAATACGCAAAGGACATGTGCGTAAGACAAAGTTCTCATTCGAGAAAATCGTCCGAGCTTTCTCGTTTTTCATCACGATCATCACACATGGGGATGACAACCGCAAATCACGGCAAACATGGCATAAATAGCTCAAAAACGATGAGAGAATGAATGAGTTCAAAAATTAATTCATAGAGTTCAAAACAAAAATCAATATAAAACACGAACGAGCACGTAAGTTGATGCGCGATTGGAA